GACCGTTACCACAAGGCCACGTGGCACTGCCGAGGCATCGATCAGCAGCGCTTACGAGCCAAAACTGATTTTCGCAAACTTTGACCACCCAGATCTCGTCTGGGAGGTCCCCGTAGCACTTTTAATCTGCATATTCGTAATCAGCATTCGAGGCTCTATCGATGTACCTAGGTCTCCATTCAAAGTTCCATGGGAAGTTCAAACCATTCCCTTGTCAGACTTGCAACCGCATACTTCGGAAGTCTGTCTTCGTGGGTCAGTCTTCGTGTGCCGGTCGTAATGGAATGCGGCCGTCGCTTCGCTATTGTCCAGTCTTTATTCTCCGCGTTCCGTGCCGCGCTCGTCTACCTGAACGCTCCGTGTAGCTGCGCCCCGCGCGGTTGCCCGTACCGCCCTGGCGTTAGATGCCTTCGTCAACGCAAGCCACTTGGAGGAGAGGTCCCTTTTTTGTTTCGCAGCGCGACATGATGCATCGACCTGGAATCAAACCCTTCCGCCCGCGTGGCCGGCGAGCATTCTACCACTGGACCACGGATGCATACCTCCTCTGAAGTGTCATGCCACAACATAGGGCATCGGTGAGGGGGCAACACATTTCATTTTTTTTCTCGCGTCGCGACAATCGAAAGTGGCACGCAACAGCGCGACTACGTCTATTTTGCAAATCTAGGGTGCCTAACTAGGGAGCAAAACAACTCTGGTATCTTGCGCTTTCCTAAGCCAGCGTTCAGACTTCGCGACGGCAGCGCTTGGACCGCGCGTTCGACGCGATCGATGCAGTAGAAAGCATGCGCATCGATCGCGCCGAGAGCTCATCGAAGCGCTGCCATCGCGAAGTCTGAACGCTGCCTAATGCTCAGTTTTGATTACTGGTAAGGATGAACACGCTCTCACGTGACTCTCCCCCTCCTCCCCAAACTACATCAGCGCCCGCAACCTCAGCGATACAGGGCTGTGCTTGAACAAAAATTAAAACACGAACCTGAAACAAGCGAAATCTGGACTGGTGAAACAACCTCTTTTACACGAGCTGACTCTCCTTGACCATGTTGCCGGTACTACAACACGCATTTCGCACAGATCTGAAATGTTTTTTTGAGAGTCCAAGTTTTCTCCTTCTGAAGTCTTGGCATACTTTGACTTTATTGTTTTGCTGAACTGTTGCCCGAGGTTCTAGGCCACGGCCACTATTCGCGCACGATTTTTCATTTTCACTGGACTTAGGTGGTTTTGCTCAAGCGCAGCATGTAGTATCTTATTATTAGTAGCGAATCAGATATCTATGTCATCTACTCTACTCAAATTTAATCTGCTCTCTCTCGAATTTAATCTGCTCTCCAAATTGCGGAGCGCCTCTCTGAACCGAGTTAGGAAAGTTTCACCCAGGTCGTTTTCAAAGCCTTCGCCGTTGATCAATCCCTATATGATGCGGCACGCATTCTACTTCCATTCAGAATCGTAGTGGCTTATTGAATGCGATGTGGCCTATACAATGACTTGCGGGGCCAGCCGATGTACAAGTCAGTGTTTTATCCTCCCAGACGAATCTGGTACCAATTTACCGTCCCCGGGGGGGGTAGAAGGCTTGGTTGATCTGGGCGAGAGCCTACCCAGCACTGGATCCTCGCATCATGCGCGTGGTAAGCGTGTCACTACCCACCACATCACCTCCGCCTAGCTATTTCCTTACAGCTGTATTTTCACCGGGGGAGGGGAGGAGGGGGCGGGGTTGGCAGTTAGACCACCAAATTCATATCCATAGGTAGTCTGACACGCTAAGAACAGTCACCACAAATATTTTGCGTAAAAATACGGAACTAGCACTCTCTAAGGAAACCAACTGCAAGTATGAGTGATTGTGGCCTGGACCCGCGGCGCACTCCACATACAATTTACTCCGAAAGAGTGTGTAATCGCGTCCAGGAAGTCAAATCAGACCTGGGTATAAATTTCATCTAAATCTGATCCTGATAAAATAAGGTAGTAGTCATAT